TGAATGCTACTTCTCTGGGATCCAGATGCAAATGGGAGTGAACAAGCTGGGCTTGAATGCTACTTCTCTGGGATCCAGGGAGAAAAATCCAGGAAGACATAGGAGGACCACATCCTCCATAACATCAGCCCTACACTCAGCTTTCCTCTACCAGAGCAGAAAGGATATTCTATTTTCCAACTTTTGACTTCCTCCCATCTGCCCCACCCTTCCTTGTCCCAGCTCACCTTGGCAGCAATGCCTGCTTCATAGAAGGCTTTGTCTACAGGTAGTAGCTGGGTGTGACGCAAGAGTGAAACAGAAAGTCTGGCAGCCACAGTTTCCTGGGATTAAAGTCAAAGCATTATGAATATGACACTAAAGTGACTGAGCTACCAGACCAATGATCCTGTAAGGCAGCCACAGAACTGAAAAACAACAATTATTATTAAACTGCTCTGGATCTCAAGCTGTTCTGGTCTTAGGTTGGTTTTTTTTTTTCTTTCTTTCCTTTTTTCTTTTCTCTGAACAACAGACCTGGGCCTAAGTTCAATTCTTTTTTTTTTTTTTTAGGACAGTGTCTCACTCTGTCACCCAGGCTGGAGTGCAGTGGTGCCATCTCAGCTCATTGCAACCTCTGCCTCCCGGATTCAAGCAATTCTCGTGCCTCAGCCTCCTGAGTAGCTGGGACTACAAGCGTACACTAGCACACCTGGCTAATTTTTATATTTTTAGTAGAGATGGGGTTTCACCACGTTGGCCAGGCTGGTCTCGAACTCTTGGCCACAAGTGATCCACCCGCCTCGGCCTCCCAAAGTGCTGGGATTACAGGGGTGAGCCACTGTGCCCGGCCACCTAGATTATTTCTAAGGTTCTTTCCACTTGTAGAATTCTATTGTCCAAATACATTAAATAAATATACAGTGAACAATCACAAATAAGCCCAAAATATGTGTACATTATAAGAGGTGAATAAATAAATCATGGGATTTGGATGTTTAAACATAATGAGGCTGAGGCTGTGTGGGCACAGAGCCCTAAGAAGGTCAGAAGAAGAAAACCTCAGCAAGGGCTAAAGATTTGTTTAGACAGAAGAGAAGCTGAAAGAGAGGTGGGGAGATTCAAGAGCCCAAGCTGAAGAATCCAGAATGAATCAATTCAGCTTTATACATTTGCAGATGAGCCCTTCTGACTGAGTGCTCCTCTGCCCTCCTACATCTCACCAGCTGTTTGACACTCTGGGCCGCAGAGCGCGTGGCATAGTAATGAGCAATCAGCAGCATCGTCTTGAACTCCTCATGGGCTGGAGAGTTTGCCTCACTGGACTTCACCAGGTTTTCACACTAGAGGAGGGAGACAGCACAGCCTGGCTCAGGGATCAGAGGAGTGCCAGGGCCATAGAGAGGTCTCTGATGGCCACCTGGCAGAGGAAGGTAAAATACATCTGAGAATAAAGGTTTATGTGCATGAAAGAAGAGATGAGGACAAGGACAGACAGAGCAGCCCCTTCACTCCTGTCGACACAACTTCCTCACCAGGTTGAAGAGGACATCTCGAAGATCAGCCCAGCTATGATAGGCCTCGGCACAGTTGGTTCCAGGAGAGCTCACCATGTCAGTGAAGATCCTTTTGTAGATATTGAAGTTCTAGAGGTAGAGGGGAGAAGGGCATCTGAGAAGGGCAAAGCTAGAAGAGAAAGTCAGTGGGAGTGGGGCCAAAGGGAGGAGAAACAGGCTCTGTGTGTAGAAATGGGTATGTGTGTGTGTGCAAGAGCTGGGAGACAGTGGCAGATTATTAAGTGCTGATTATTTTTAATGAAATGAATTATTTTTAAGTGCTGATTATTTTTTATGAAAAGAGGAAGAAACTTTCTTAGCTGGTGCTGTGTGAGTGTGGGCAACTGTACAAATGTAAATGCAGAGTCACAACATTAATGGGCTGTGACTCTCAATCAGGCAGCAGTGTTCATTCTCTGGAGGAAGTCAGTAAAGGCCCTAGAGGTATGTGCAGGATTCAGCTCTGAAAGACAGGTGCCTGTGTATTTACTAACAGCATGGGGAGCTCCATGGGTGTTTCTTCAAACAGAAGTTGAAAGTTTCTGCAAACTTCTCCCCTTGCTCTTAGCAAATACACAGCCTCCAGAGAGGCTGTACCTTTCTGGAGATGCACTGGGGGCTCTGGGCATGATGTTCTCTAAGGATAGAATCCTCTGAGAAGATAGTTCCTGAGAAAATAGGTGGTTCTAGAAGTGAAAAGAGTTTCCTTGTGGAAACATTCAATCCAAGGAGAAGGCTGGTACCTGTGGGTTAGCAGGGGCTCCGTGCTGTACATATAGGGCCAATGCCTGGGCAGAGTTACCCTCCCGGATCAAGTGAGTTGCATACAAAGCCACGTACTTGTGCAGAATCTTGTAGTTCTGTACAGGGGTGGAGGAAAAGCATGCGTGAAGTTGGGATCAGCAAGACCAAGCAGTGAGGTGACTTGAGGCCATGTATTTGTTGAGGAGACAAAGGGCGTATGCAAACCTCTGACCCCAGTTTCAGATTGAGCTTATCTGATGCCCATTAGAAATCTTTGGGCTTTGGGTTTTTGTGGAGGTAGGAGAGATGCAGCTTTGAAGCAGGTGGGGAATCAAGGGAAAATGTAAAGGAAAACTGGGAATGGGAAGACAGCAGTACCTGCTTGGTAGCTGTTTCAATGCACTTGTCCCACTGGCCCTGCTCCACATACAGGTCCAAAGCAGCTATCACATCCACACCCACCAGCTGGGTCAATGGAAGACAGAGTTACAAGAGAAAAGAGATGACATGAGGGAAAGAAGAGGGAGAGAATCTTGTGAGTCTCTCCCTGCATTCTGCCTCCTGCTAATTCTGCAAGTCTCACCGAGTCCACTTTGCCCTGGTTCTTGAGGAACTCTTTATAATGCTGGTCCACATAGTCTTCGTACCTGTGAAGATGTTCAGAGAGCTCCATCTTCATATTCCAGAATACCAACCCTCCCCATAAGACTTTCTCCCAGTCTTTACAAAAGGAAGTAAAAGAGAATTTCCCGGTAAGAAGGGGTTACAAGCTTACC